CCCAGGAAACTTCTGAAAAAGATGAGTAATGAGAGGTCTTTTTTTTTTTTTTTCTTTTTGTCTTTTTTCGTGACCGGCAACGGATCGCAACCCTCAGTGTCGCGCCCGTACTGGACTGGGACCGGCTACGGGATCGCAACCCTCGGTGTTGCTCCCGCACCTCGCTCAGCCAGTGAGCGGCCGGTCTGTATATGGGATCCGAACCCTCAGCGGGAGCACCGCCACGCTTCCCAAGCAGCGCACTGTAGCAGTGCGCCACCGGGCCGGCCCTGAGAGGTCTTTTATTAAGATATCAAAACATTTAAAAATTATAGTAAATACAGAGTGTGATACTGGCAAAAGAATAAACGGATGGATCACTGAACCAAAATAGAACCACAAATAGATCCAAACATGTATCTTCTACGAAAATGGTAGCATTTAAATCAGTAGGGAAAATATATTTCATAGTCATTTTTTCTAAGGCTCACTTTTTTTTTCCTTCTTATTTCAACATATCTGGTCAGATTATATCTTATATAGTTTATTTCTTCCTTAGAAGTATATAAAATAATGATGTACTTTAAGTCCCGTGACATATTATATGATTCATATGTGGCTTTGGTACACCTGGGTAACCCCTCTCTGGGGAAAAATTAAGTAGGATTCCTAACTCATATATTATACTAAAATAAAATTATGATTGATAATCTGATACCATAATCTTACCAAATCTTATACCAAAATAAAATAACAATTGGTTAAAAGATTTGTGTTACAAATGAAAGCATTAAAATTGTAGAAGAAGGAGAAATTTATATAAATACGGGTAGGTTGAAAAAAATCCTTTACCAAAATCTGTGAAAGAAAAGCTGGTAGTTTGTTTTCTGTGGCAAAAACACATAAGCAAAACTGAGCTAGAGGGTAAGACACGAGTGCCTCTGTGCGGGCTGGGGGAGCAGCAGGGGTACTGACTGGCTTTCTTGGGCTTGAAGTGAGACTTGATTAGGGAAGTCTTTGGTCCTTCTGGTCTGAGCGTACGGTGTTCCTGGCCAAAGGGCACCATTTGGGTGAGTCTGGCTTGGGGATCTGAGGGCTACAGAAGAGGGATCTGCTCAAGGCAGGTGGTCATAGCCGCTCAGTCTTCGGTTCACAGCAACATCATCACTCAGGTGGGGTAAAGTCTTGCTTGAATCTCTTGGCTGATGCAGGAATCTGGATTGATGGGTGCAAGAGAATGAATCTGGATCTTCGTCTTCCCTTGGATCCAGCTACTCAGGATCTATCTTGCTGCAGCTAAAGCCTGGAGTTTCTACGGTTGAAGAAGGAGTGGGATTTGTTCTATACTCCCGCTAAATACAGTTATAAGACCACAGGAGGTGAAATTAGTTTTATCTGGAGAGCTGTGTGGCCAGTGGTTTCTAGAGGTTTTCTTTGCTTTCTTAGTCCTGCCTTCTCAGAACACTATCCTTTTTCAGGAGAACAGCCCTGAGGAAGACTGATCATCTCCTGCAATTCTGAAAGCCATGGCTGAGGTGAGTTGATGCCTTTTCTTGCCTTCCTGACATTTAGTTCTTTTTTTTAAAAAAAGACATAATCATTTGCTTTCCTCATCCTGACATGTCTGACTATAAAGCCATGGCTGAGGTGAGTTGATGCCTTTTCTTGCCTTCCTGACATTTAGTTCTTTTTTTAAAAAAAAAACATAATCATTTGCTTTCCTCATCCTGACATTTCTGACTAATAGGATCTTGATCCCCATTTCTTCTTATTTTAGCTAGATAATCCTACATCATCCCTACGTGCCACTCTTTTTTTCAACCAGCATTAATATTTTTACTCAGCAAATAACTCAACATCTTTCTTCTTAGCCTATCCTAGGCACTATGATGGAGAGGAAATGTATTCTCTTAAGGAAACAAGAGTAGATTTGTAGCATGAATTTGTCCTGTCTGGACTGATTTGATGAGGTGGAGGTATGAATTGCTTAGCTGGGAACAAATGGGGAAAAGCCAAGATTATCTCTACAGAATAGCATTTTCCAGTAAGACAGGATGGAAAATGGTGCTGATAGCTCCAGATGTTAGGTTGTTGTGAGATCTCCTGGTTTATGAGGCTTTGAGGATCATAGGCTGGTAGCTTATATAGATCTCTGAGATTCTGTTGGGGCATCCATGAGAGAAATCCAATTTTAGGTAAAACAAGAAGTGTGGGTTGTGAGGAATTTCTATGCAAATCATCAGTTTTCTTTATCTCAGAAATAAGGATAAGGGTGATGGATTATTACAGTGCATAAGTTGTTAAGATCATACTGTCAGAACTCTGAAGAATCTCACGTCTTGTTTATTAATATCTATATTGTAGAAAATTCTGCCACCAGAAAAATATTAAAGAATTTGTATTAAAAAGAAACAATTCTTATAACAGTAAGTCACATGAGTGAACTAGAGTTTATGAGAAAACATCATTTGCTGTTTTGGAGATATTGCTATTTTAAAATATATTCATCAAATTTTACATGTTAAAAATTTACGAAGTGTAAAACGAGTAGGGCCCTACCCCGCCACTTAGTCCTACTTCCTAAGGACAGACACCTTCACCTCTTTTAGATGATGCCAGTGGAATTTATTCCATATTTCTGATTAATACCCCTATCAATTTTAGACATTTTCTAGTTGTTTCTTTGCAAGGTATGTGTGGATTTAGATTTGCTACGTCCCTCTCTACTTCCTTTCCCCACAACAGAGTTATGTCACAATTTTGTTTAAGTCAATACTATACGTACACATGGTTAAGATCTTGCAGATAGTCTATTGCAACTATTCTCTACCATCTCCTCCCCCCCAAAAAAAGAACTTTATAATGGAAAATTTCACACATACAAAAAGTAGTTTTATGAACTACTACACACTCACCACTAGCTTTGATAACTATCAATTCGGTGCTAATCAGGTTTCATCTAGACCTCTCCATGTGTACTCCCCTGCCTTTACTCCCACGCACCGGATTATTTTGAAACTAGTAGAAATAGGAGAAGGATCCGACGGGATCTTAGTGTTCAGCCTCCTGTGACGCGGCTGGGGCCGGGAGCGTTCCCTTGCTGCGGAAACACGGCCTCCAGGCTCGGACACCGGCGGGGGTGCTCGTTGCCATAGCAACACCGAGGCCAGCAAGTTCTACGCGGGAAGTTGGGGGGAGGGGCTGAGGGTGGGGTCAGGGTAGGCTGTAGATTCCGAGAACGCGCCTGTGGCTGTGGCGCAGCCCAAGACGAAAGCGGTTCCCTGACCGACCGCTGGTGAGCGCCTGTGGCCGTGGGCCATGCCATCCCCGTGCGCTGGTCACCAGCTGCTGTCCGACCTTCACCCGGGACCGGCTGGCACCGTATCCTTGGAAGAGAAGATCTTACTGTGGAAGTCACTTCTAATGATGTCGTGAGATTTTGTCCCTGGACCATTGATAATAAATGACTACTCAGCGGATATCAATCTGTGTGTGGTGCCAAACAAATTTCTCTTCAGTCTCTGTAAAGTCTGTCCAAGCATTTGTGGTTTACTTTGACAAAACACCAAAGTCGGGTCTTGATAGTGTCTTCTCATGGCTTCTGCTGGCAGAGGCATGGTTACCTAAGGTGATCATCTTGGTCTATGATAGAGTGTCTGAAAACAGTGTAAACTGGCAAAAAGCTCAAGAATGATGCATCAAACATGCCTCTGAATTGGTAGAACTTAGTCCAGAGGAGTTGCCCGAGGAGGATGATAGAAACCAAGGCTTTAGCCTTCTCAACTCATTGGCTAGAAAAGCCATAGCATTGGATTAGCAGAGACCTGTCACTTAGAGCAGCCTGTTTACCAGTAGCAGATAGGACTGAATCTGTCTCAGATCGCAGGGTGGTGCATCTAACACAACAGATGCCCAGATTGATAGCATTGTAGATCCCCTGTTAAATCTGGATATTCAAGAATTAGCCAGTCTTAACTACTAGGGTAGGAGATCCGGAGAATATTGAAAGACTATTTTCAAAGTTAAAGAAAATGAAAGATAAGGCTACCATGCTTCCTCATGAGCAAAGGAAGTTGCATGTAGAAAAGGTGGCCAAAGCATTCTAGATGGCAATTGAGGGAGACAGAGATGAAATTGAAGGCCTTTCATCTGATGAAGAACACTAAATTATTTATCCTAGTGTTTGACTAACAAACATGATAGCTCTGTCTACTTGAGATAGTTCCCTATTCAATCCAGTTATATTTTGCTGAAATCTCATGATCATGTTGGCCCCCCAACTTGTTTATAGGGTCCCCTTAATTTTAGTTTTTAGTAGAGGGTTAAGGAGAAATCTTTTCTCCCTCAGTATATTGTGAGGCAGTGAATACAGTGGCAATAATGAGAATTTCTCAAATATACTTTCTTGTTCTTGGAGTGGGGGGTAGAATGCATCTCAGAGGTCTGTGTGATTTACTCAAGTTAAAGAAGAAGAAAACCATCACGCCATTCTTAGTCAACCTTTTAAGTAGCATTCACTGCATTCACACTTGATTACTGCAGATCAGAAGCTTGTGCCACCTTCCCTGGGTGTTTTGGATTTTCTCTATTCAGAGAGCTTGTGGCTTTGAGCTGTGATGCTTTTTTTGCAAAAAAAAAAAAAAAAAGGAGGCAGCTGTAAATTTGGTTTGTGCTGTAGCATAGATGGGGCCAAAGTCAGTGGCCCAGAGGTTAGTCTCTAACTAAAAAAATGCTTCTGGGCATTTCTCTTGAAGTATAGCATCTGAAGTCATGCTAGAAAGAACTGAAAAACTAGTGTGAATTTTTAGACTATAATAAGTGAGGCAAAGATTTCCTATTCTGATGGGGATAAAACAAACCCTTCTCCCAAGGTGGTGTGGTGTGTGGGTGAGAGGGAGGAGGAGGAGGAGAGAAAGAGAGAGACTAAGGAAATCCCTATGTAGAGCATGGAAACAGTATTAATCATATACTGAGATTTTTATTTTAGCATTTTCATGATGAAGCTCTTCCGCCTTAGAGTTCTCCCCTGCTACTTGAGATGCCAGAGCTGGGTTGTCATACTTTATACCCTCAAAACAAGGCAAGGTTCCTCCTCTTTCTCTTTTAAAGCCAAGCAGATGTCACTGCCAAAATAGCAACACCAAGGGGTGGGTGAGGATGTGAAATGTCCTGAACACCTTGTTTTACTTCCCAGTTGATAGTTTCCTCTATACCCTTCCAGGACTGTTACCCTGAGGGAATCTCCTTTGTTCTTTATCCTTTGTCATGTTTGAGTCAGTCAGCCCCAGAGGAACTAATCATCAAAAGGAAAGTTTCCAAAGGGAGAGGGGAAAGTACAGTAAATAAAAATCCTTGTTTCTGTTTTTTTAGATAGACACTTTTGTAATGCATGTCATTAACTTTGACTGTGGTGGTTATTGCCATGGCTCTAAACTGGCCCAGAGCGCTGCAGATAGATAGTGTTGGCACATGGGCCAAGAACTGGTTTTGCCTAGTCTGGGTTCTGTCCTATTCACACAGCTTGGCAGAAACACAGGTTAGGTCACAAACAGAAACAAGGTTCACACCCCCTCCAGGCACCACATTATAAGCTCTGCAGAACCTGAAACAGATGGCAGAAGGAATGGAATGCTCCAGGGGCCAGGCCAAGCCACCACTGGGAGGAGACGTCTCAGTGTTTGGAGCATTCAGAAAGTAGCATTCCAGGGAAACTGGAAGCTGTGTTGCTTAGTGACCTTTTTCCCCATCAGTGTTTTTTGAGGTTATTGCATTAGTCACTGATTAGAAGAAACTGTGAACTTGAATTTGTGAATTAAACAAAGCCAGGTGATGAAAATGTGATTTATTTATAATGTCAAAAACAAAAAAACAAATTGGTATGTATCTCTAATAGATAAGGATTATTTTTAAAAATACAACCATTATTCCATTATTGAATCTAAAAAAGCTAAAATTAATTTGTTAATATCATCAATATCCAGTTGTATTCAAATTTCCATAATTGTCTCATTTTTTAAGTATTTATTTGAATTAGAATTCATAAACTGGTTCATTTGTCCACTGTCTGGATTTTGCTGAATGCATCTCTGTGATATCATTTACGTATTTCCTGAAAATTGGTAATTAGATAGAAAAGCTTCATCAGATTCAGCTTAGATTTTTTTGTGTGTGAAGAATGTTTTATAAAGCACATTATATCTAGTTCTCTTTCTTTTTGTAATATTAGCAGCTGTTGATGATTATTGTCAGATTCATTAATTCATTAGGGGTTGCAAAATGATATTTTAATTCTGGCATTCCTCCTTTGTAGATTAGGTTGAATACTTCTGTCTGTAAAGTAAAACTTTTCTTCATCATCTGTTTGGTTGCCCTGAGGGACAGTTTGTATAGGAAAGAATGTTTGAGTATTTCCATTTATTCACCAGTTTTCAAGATAATGAATTAGAATCCTCCAAAAGTGACAAATTTTTTTTACAGTATCATTATGAGCTCATGGATTAAACATTTTAGATGTGACCAGTCAATTGCATTTATTATCTCTATAATTTGATGCACAAAGTTATACCATTTTTGGCCAATGGGAGCTGCTTCAGGTTGGCTTCTGAGTCTTTTCAACATGATCCTAGTAGTTATTGGTAGCTTTCTTACTTTTGCTATAACAAGTTGTTCAGACTCATCTAATGCATTTCTGACTTAATCCTGAAATCAGCTTTCCCCCCAAAGAAACTTGGTTCCTTTCATTTGAAAATGGTACTTTAGGAACTATAAGATAGGCACTAGGGGTACTCTTTGCTACTGGGTTAGTCATTGTGTCTAGGCCTTTTCAATGGACAAAGTCAGGAATGTGTTTGTTTGTTTAATATAAACTAAACTCATTACTCTTGCATCTGTTTCTGAGATCCAAAGATACTGGTTCTCGGTGATAACAATATAATTACTCATTTGCATTACCCCACAATATAAGCACAATAGTCTCTGAAATATTTCATTTATTACAAAGTAATGCATATGTTTATTGTTTCAGGGATCAGTGGTGTTCAGTGATGTGTCCGTAGACTTTTCTCAGGAGGAGTGGGAATGCCTGGACCCTACTCAGAGGGACTTGTACAGAGATGTGATGTTAGAGAACTACAGCAATCTGGTTTCAGTGGGTAAGGGCATCTATAGCAGTGATTCAGAGTTGTCCTCTGGAATGTCTGCTTCTTCCAGTGAATTTCTCAGCTGCTTTTCAAGTTACCGGCTGAATTTCTGCTCCTTGTTCCCAAATAAAAGGTTTGAGCTGAAATGAAAAGGAAGAGTGGGAAATGGGCAGCTCCAGTGGGCTGTGGCTGAAGCTTCTTCTTTATCCTCATCTTTCTTTGGCTGTTCCTGTAGTGGCATCGTTTCCTTGATCATCAAGGGACTGGATCTGATTTACCCACAGCATAACCAAATTCCATATCTTTTCTCGTGAGCAGGACTTTACATTCCTAAGCCTCAAGTGATCTCCTTACTAGAACAAGGGAAAGAGCCCTGGATGGTTGGCAAAGAGCTTACAAGAGGCCTGTGTTCAGGTAAGTGAGAAATGACTGGACAGAAGCAGAGCATTACAGATAATAATTCAGCTGGTCAAAAAGGAAACAGCACCTTTGCAGTATTATCTTGGAAGCTCCCATCGAGATCATAGACCTGTGGAGAAAACTAAATCCTTTTAGCATGAGTTTACAAATAAACTGTTTCTTCCCTTCCTTCACTTGCCACTCTTTATACTACTCCTCTTTAAGACCCCTCTTAATTTCAAGCAGAAGTTGCCTTTCACTTCCCCTACAGAGAAAGCTCTTTACCCATATTTTAAATTCAGCTCCTTGCTAGCTTTTCTTCCTTTTTTTCATCTGGACTTGTGTAGGTATTTTCTGTTATCACCCCCAAAATAATGCAATTGTATGTGTACACACACGTATGAATCCACACCCCCATCCCCCACCCAAGTACTGGTCTTCATTATAGGTGCCTGTCAGTCACTTATCAGTCTGTCTTGGATTTTTTCTTTATCCAACATTTTTGCTTTCTTAATTTGTATAAAGGAGTCTGCCAGGTGCTGCAGTTTACTAATTATGTCAGCTTTAAGAACTCAAAGTCTAAAAGTGGTGCTAAAATATATCCATAAATAATTTTCACAAAATAAAATAAAGTAAAAGAGAAGCAGACAAGTAGCTTAGCAGAACTTCAGGGGCTAAATATGTAGAAGTGTTATTAATCCAGAGTGAAATACTGGTTGGAGCCTTGGAAGTGATTGCAGTTACAATGTATAGAGATACTGTTGGAGACAAAAAAAAAAAAAAAAAAAAAAAAAAGGTCTGTGCCTATATTGAAAAGGGAGAGATGACAGAGGAGAGATTGGAATGAAGTAGGAGAACCAGAAGAGTACTTCTTGAGCACTACTATTTGGATACTTCAGAAAGTTCATGGAAAGATTCATATTATCTTTTAATTCTACTTTTCTGCAAACTTTTTGAAGTACCCTCACATATACAAAGCATTGGTCCAGTCTGGGATTATAGTATTTATCATAACATTCAAAGCTCTGCACTTCTAGAGCCTATATTATAGAGGGTGAGAGAGAAAATGTCTTAGTACATTTTAAAACAGTATACCTCAGAGTGAGTAATTTATAAAGAACAAAAATTTATTTTCTCGTAGTTCTGGAGGCTGGGAAGTCCAAGATCAAGGCACCAGCATTTGGTCAGAGCCTTCTTGCTGTGTCTTCACATGGCAGAAGGCAGAAGGGCAAGAAAGAGCCAACTCCCTTTGTCAACACTTTTGGCCTAATCACCTCTTAAAGGCCCTACCTCTTAATACTATAATATTGGCAAAACCTGAATTTTGGAGAGGACACATTCAAACCATAGCAGAAAATAAGTATGTCAAATATATATATAATATTAATGTTAATATTATAAATTAATATTTATTTTATATCATATGTTAATGTGACATTAATATAATATAATATATATATTTTATAATTACATATAATTATATAATATATGACTGTTTTATATGTTAATGTATTTATATATTATATAATTATATTTATTTATATAATACAAATAAATATTTATATATTACACATTAAAACATTTTATATATCTACATATTTTATATATAATGTCAGATGGTGATAAATAGAGACCTGAAGGGCTGGCTGGCCAGTTGGCTCAGTTGTTTAGAGCATGGTGTTATAATACTAATGTCAAGAGTTCAGATCCCCTTACTGGCCAGCCACCAAAAAAAATATAGAGAGACCTGAAAGAAGTAAGGGAACAAGTAATGTAAATATCTGGTGGAAGAAATTCAGGCAGAGGGAATAGGAAGAACAAGTTACCTGATTTAGGGAGCTTTTTGGTTCCTATCATTGTGGCTGGAGTAGAAGGAGCAAAGAGGAAATTGTCTAAGAGGAGATCAGGAAAGTAGCAGGGTGTATGTATGTTTGCATGCTGGATGCAGGTGAGGATGTGGGTTGGGGTGTGTACCTGCAAATGCACTTGGGTCTTATGGGCCTTGAATTGTATTCTGAATGAGATGTGAATTATTTGTGTGATTTGAACAGAGTAACATGGTCATGCTTTTAAAGGATCACTCTTGCTCAGAGGTTTGTAAGTTTGGATTTCTTTGGATAGAATTTAGGGAGTCCATGAACTTGGATGAGAAGAAAAAAATACATTTTATATTGAAATTTATCATTTCTTCCTATTGTGGCATATACAACAAGCCATAGTAGTGTTAGTAGTTCCTGTGACTTCAACATGAATAGAAATCACAGATATTTTCATATCATTTTCTGTTATTGTAGACATTTTGAAATATTTATGCTCATCATTACTCTAGAATTACTATAGTACGAGGCTCACTGCCAGGTCTTGTTATTTAATGTGTTAAAGAAAGCTCCAGGGGCCGAGCCCGTGGCGCACTCGGGAGAGTGCAGCGCTGGGAGCACAGCAGCGCTCCCACTGCGTGTTCAGATCCTATATAGGGATGGCCGCCGGTGCGCTCACTGGCTGAGCGCTGTGCAGCCGGTCTCAAAAAGGGCAAAAAAAAAGAAAGAAAGCTCCAGGCAGAGGGAAGAACCCCTGTGAAGGCCCTGATGGGAGGGAAGAGCCTGGTATGTCTGAAGAACTGAAAGAAAGCCACTTGTTACTGGGCCCCATGAGCAAGTGGGAGTGGAGTGTGAGTTGAGGTTGGACAGACAGGCTGGAACTGTAGCATTCAGCCTTTGCTGGAGATTATGAGGAGTTTGGATTTTCAGCAGTGAAAGGCCAGACCAAATGTCATTTGGTCCCCAAATAGGATAAAGGGTGTGAAAACTTGCTGGGGAGACTAGTTTAGGAGCCTACTTCAGTAGCCTAGGTAAGAAATGATTTTGGTTTGGAAAATGACATTATCAGTGGAGATAGAACAGGACAGTTTTAAAGACTGCTTTGGAGCTTAACTAGATGAAAGTTGCTAAAGATCATATAGAAGTAGAAGAAAAAAGATTGCATTGGAATAAATTACTTGTTTCTGGCTTGAGATGTTTCAAACTATTTAATTTGCCTAAATTGTGCCATTTTTAATAAGAAATAATAGCTATCAAATACTGAATACTTTACTCCAAGACATTTACCTACATTTTCCCTTATCCTCCCAAATAATCACAAGGATTACTTCCCTTTTACATATGAAGAAATGGGGGCTTAGCAGGATTAGTTAAATAATTGCCTGGGAACATATAGAGATTAATTATCAGAATTGGTACTTAGCTGTCATCAAACTGCTTCTGGTTCCTGTCATCTTTCCATGGCAGTATGTTGTACTGTCTTAATTTCTTTCTGTCTGCCTTAAACTCTAGCTGTCTCCACTTTCAGTCACTGGGGTGGTACATGAGCAAGTCTCCTCTCTTCTCCCAAGATCAGCATCACAAAATTCCAAGGCAAACAGTATTTTCATTGAATCTTCAGCACATAAAGTATTTTGAGTTTCCCTATCTCCCACTTACATCAAATTTGTTCAATAACTTAGATATACCTCTGGCTATTCCCCCAGATGGATAACCCTCCATTACTGCTTTCAAATTTCATCCACTAAATCCTTTATTATGGAGCTTATTCTGTTTCCACACCACCAGGTGTGCTGAAATTCAATTGTGACACTAACTATCCCAAGTTTGTGCAGACCCCACAGTCCTCTACAATACTGCCCTCACTTTAGACACCAGCTGCAAGTGTTGACAGTCCCGAGGCCACCTGCAGTCTGGCTATAAATTCAGGGGTTTCTAAGGCCCATTCAGGTTTAATAATTTGCTAAAGTGACTCATAGAACTCAGGAAAACTCTATACTTAAGATTACAGTTTTATTGTAAAGAATCAAATTAGGGCAAGATCTAGAAGTCTTCTGGACAGAGATTCCATGTCCTCTCCTTGTGGAATCAGGGTGTGTCACCCTCCCATCACATCAATGTGTTTATCAGTAGTATAGCTCCTTTGAGTTTTGGTGTCCATAGTTTTTATTGGGGTTTCATTGTGTAGGTGTAATTGGTTAAATCGTTGGGTGCTCAGTAGGTCTCTCTCCCCTTCCCAGAAGTTAAGCAGCTAAAAGTCTCGACCCTCCAATCAGCCTTCTAATAACCCTGGGTCTTTTTGATGACCAGCCTCCATCCTAAAGCTTTCTAAGGACCAGTTGAGTCACCTCATTAGCATAACAAGGACACTCATATGACTCAGAAAATTCCAAGGGTTTTTGAAGTTCTGTGCCAAGAACCAGGGGCAAAGGCCAAATCTATTCTTTATTATACCATAAAGCCTGTGTTTATTTCTCTCAGGAGACTTTTAACAGAAAAGTATCTATTCTTTGTTATACATGTAGTATGATGATACACCTCTCTTATACATGCATGCATACATATATATAACTAGTCATGTTTTAATATGGAAGATGACCCAAGCATTGTATATTTACCAGCCTTTTTAGGTGATTCAGATCCACATCAATATTTGAGAATAATTGAGGTAACTTATTTCCATAGTGCCCTCCCTCTGTTTCCTGTATTATATGTTGTTAATTTCTGTGCATTTCTTGTCCATTTGTCAGATTAAACACATATCCCTGAGGACTGTATGTACATCATTTACCTACTGGATATTATTTTCACTTTTATTTTTCTATTTCTATTTTTAAAAGTTTAACTTTTCACGATTAGGAAGGAGAAAGAATATTTACCATTGTATTTTCTTTCAGATCTGGAATCAATGTGTGAAACCAAGTTATTATCTCTAAAGAAGGAAGTTTATGAAATAGAATCGTGCCAGAGGGAGATAATGGGACTTACAAAGCATGGCCTTGAGTACTCCAGTTTTAGAGATGTTTTGGAGTATAGAAACCATTTTTCAAGGCAACTTGGATATCAAAATGGCCATTTCAGCCAAGACATATTCACTCATGAATATATGCCCACATTTATTCAACAGACATTCCTTACCCTACATCAAATAATTAATAATGAAGAGAAACCCTACGAATGTAAGAAGTGTGGAAAGGCCTTTAGTCAGAATTCACAATTTATTCAGCATCAGAGAATTCATATTGGTGAAAAATCTTATGAATGTAAAGAGTGTGGGAAATTCTTTAGTTGTGGTTCACACGTTACTCGACACCTGAAAATTCACACTGGTGAAAAACCCTTTGAATGTAAGGAATGTGGAAAGGCCTTCAGCTGTAACTCATACCTTTCTCAACATCAAAGAATTCATACTGGTAAGAAACCCTATGAATGTAAGGAATGTGGGAAGGCCTTCAGTTATTGCTCAAATCTTATTGACCATCAGCGAATTCACACTGGTGAAAAGCCTTATGAATGTAAAGTATGTGGGAAGGCCTTTACTAAGAGCTCACAACTTTTTCAACATGTACGAATTCATACAGGTGAGAAACCCTATGAATGTAAAGAATGTGGGAAAGCCTTTACTCAGAGCTCAAAGCTTGTTCAACATCGGAGAATTCATACTGGTGAGAAGCCCTATGAGTGCAAGGAATGTAGCAAAGCCTTTAGTAGTGGCTCAGCACTTACTAATCATCAGAGAATTCACACTGGTGAGAAACCCTATGATTGTAAGGAATGTGGGAAGGCTTTTACTCAGAGCTCACAACTTCGTCAACATCAGAGAATTCATGCTGGTGAGAAACCCTTTGAATGTGTTGAATGTGGGAAGGCCTTTACTCAAAACTCACAACTTTTTCAACATCAAAGAATTCATACAGATGAAAAACCATATGAATGTAATGAATGTGGAAAGGCTTTTAATAAATGCTCAAACCTTACTCGACATCTAAGAATTCATACTGGCGAAAAGCCCTATAACTGTAAGAAGTGTGGGAAGGCCTTTAGTAGTGGCTCAGACCTCATTCGTCATCAGGGAGTTCATACTAATGAATGATAAAATTAAAACTCACTTTCCTAATACTTTAAACAAAATTCATGTTGCATTCTTATTCTCTTTCACTACTTTTTGTTTATTTTATATATATGTTTTTAATCCAAATGTATTTCACTTTAAGTTACGAATTCAGAGTCTAAATTGACATTGCCCTTGCCTGCCCTCCCCACCAAATCTTGTACCAGTGCCAGTTGTTTAAGAATTCTTTCCTTCCCCATTGTTTGGTTCTAACTTCTTGGTATTATATTATTTTCTTGTTTATATTTCCTTGTGTTTTTAGGGCTGTCTTTGCTGATTTATGTATTTGTGCTTGCACTAATATCACACTGTTTAAATTGTGTGATATTTAATATTTTAATATTAGTTGTGGAATTATAACTTTGTTTTTGAAATCAGTGTTAATCTTTTTGTTTGATTTCTCAAATTTACTTTTTTTATTGTAAAACAGAAAATCAGAAACTAAAAAGCCAAAATTAATTGTAATCTTACTAACTATAGGTGACTGCTCTCAGTTTGGTAGAGCAAATCTTGCTAGACTTTGTTTTTTAAGAAATGTATTCATGGTATGCATGCTGTACATCTGTTTTTATCATGCCAAAAAAAATCATGATTGCCATTTCAGTAAATATATATTTTTATTATTTTAAGGACTTTTTAAAATGAGTTATTTATGTTATTGGGCCTCTAAATTTTTAGTTATAAAACTGCCTTTATTAATAGGACCCAAAGTTTATCTTTGGATGCTTGTTTTTTTCTTTTAAAACATGTATTTTAATTGCTGAAATTATTCACATTTTCTTCTTGTAAACTGTTTTGTTCCTTTTCATTAACCCTAATCCTAATGCCATACTATTAGAAAGGTAATAACTGTTATGAAAGTGTTGTTTATCCTTTCAGATATTTTAAGAAATTTTTTCTTATATATGTTAGTGATGTTTTATGTGTTATGTATTAGTATATATAATCACGCTGTATGTATTGGTTTGCTGCAAGGAGTTGATGAATTAATAAATGTAACGTACTTAGAACTATTCCTATCATATAGTATATATTCAATAAAGTTTTTTCTGATAAATCCTTATCCAAACTTGCTACTCACTTTCTAAAACTTGGAAATCAAAGTGATTTAGATAAAGTAGTATCTGAACTTGGGAACCTAATAGATTTTGATAGTGAGAAATTCTTGGAATATAACACAAGATAATTGACAGGGAATTTCTAGAGTTCAAATAACTATAAAGCACTATAAGTGAAAATGTATTATCAAACTCCAACATGTTCTAGATGCACCCTTCTTGTTTTTTCTTAGCAGTATTTGACAGAATGGGATATATATTTTTTTCCTTTTTGTCTTTTTTCGTGTCCGGCAACGGATCACAACCCTCAGTGTCGCGCCCATACCGGACCGGGACCGGCAACGGGATCGCAACCCTCGGTGTTGCTCCCACACCTTGCTCAGCCAGTGAGCGGGAACCGGTCTGTATGTGGGATCCGAACCCTCGGCAGGAGCGCCACTGCACTCCCAAGCGGCGCCCTGTAGCAGTGCGCCACCGGCCGGCCCAGAATGGGATATATTTTATAAATAAAATTAAGAGCTATTATCCTACCTTCTACTATATCACTCTGTTTATTCCTTTATACTCTGTCTACTTCCCACTTGAAGAATCTTTAAAACATAGCCAATGAGTCCAATCATTGCTGCATATTTTGGTAGGGTGGAGTGAGGTGCGGGGAGGTGGTTGTTGAAAACAAGTTTAGAACTTCAATTTTCACTGCAATTAGAATGTAGAGGAATATGAAAGCCTTCACTCACATGATAACAAGTAAAACCTTGATGAGATAAAAATCATACTTATGGGATAATCTAAGAGTGGTAGAGGCAAGGAAGCCTTGATGAGCTGAATCCCTCATAGAAATAAGTCCTTCCCCATACTAGCTAGCTACAAGCAAAAAAAAGAAAAGAAAAAAGCTTTTATAGGTGAACAGAGAATCACACAACTGGATGTAGATGCATGGTGTGGACAGGTGGATAAAGGAGTAGGCTAATGTGGATGAAGAGATACTGGACAGAAAAGAAATTAGTAGAGTCTAAAATGGTGCTTACGAATACAGTGGAATAGACAGTACTCAGCATCACCCTCTCCCACAGTCAACCAATTTACAACTATTAAAAAGCAACGACTGCCAAGCTCAGGCTGCTAGAGCTCAAGGGAAGAGGAGGAGAGAACTATGGAGTTTGTGATGGCAAGAGAAGCCATGATGAGAGAAAGGACCACTCTGACCATTTCAAGCCCTGACCACTTCAAGGCTGGCCCTGGTGAGTACACAGAACAAGAGCTGGCAAAAGCTGATGCTCTGCCCTTCATATGAAGTTTCTTGGAGGCTGCAGGGGAGAAGAGGGCCTTGGTGGCCCCCCAGCAAGACCAATAACGGGGTTCCCGTGGACCCACATAGGAGTGAGGGGCCACAGACAACTGAAAAAAGGAGCCACTCAGGCCAGTGAGTCATTGCAAGGGACCAGCGCATGGCCCATCCAATGGGAAGTGTTGGGAGTGTGGGATACGGGCCCACTGGGGGAATACTGGGACACAGCATGGACAGCTGATCTGCCCTCCAACCAGCACTGGTCCACTCAGTGGAGACTGGTCAGGAATACAGAACTGCAGGGGGTACAGTTTGCAGAAAAGACTCAGGCCCGACCAGACTGCCCAGACCAGTTTCCACACAAACCAGGTGTACCAGACCTCACAAGACCCAGAAGTGCTTACAAGGTCAACAATTAAAACATAAGCTGCCCAAAAAGCCTTCCCCAGAGAATCAGCAAAGCAGCAATTTAACTCAACCACAGGGCTAAAGTGCTAGTCTGCACAGGAAGTTCCCCCATTTTAGAAGTAACCAAAGGACAATAAATTAGTTCAGTGCAGGGTTCAAGCGGTGGGAATAGGGAATAATCCAACACAGAACTGAAAGAAAAAACAAAAGACACAGATCAGAGACAAAGTTCTGATATTAACCAATAAAGGTCTACCACCACCAAAGAACACCTATAAAACCTAGAAGGACCAGAAGTCTCCCAGGGTCTCAAGCCTGGGTAGGGGGAGGACCAAGGGTCTCAGCCACACCCCCCTGGCATCCACATCCAGCCCATCGACGGCCACCAGGCCACCACTGGAAGCGCCCTGGGATCCCTAACTGGGGTGGGGGGAGCTAAAAGCCTCAGCCACACCCCCTGATGTCCATATCCAGCCCAGTGATGACCACAGAGCCACCACCAGAAGCAAATAAATTAGTTCAGTGCAGGGTTCAAGCGGTGGGAATAGGGAATAATCCAACACAGAACTGGAAGTAAAAAAAGACACAGATCAGAGACAAAGTTCTGATATTAACCAATAAAGGTCTACCACCACCAAAGAACACCTATAAAACCTAGAAGGACCAGAAGTCTCCCAGGGTCTCAAGCCTGGGTAGGGGGAGGACCAAGGGTCTCAGCCACACCCCCCTGGCATCCACATCCAGCCCATCGACGGCCACCAGGCCACCACTGGAAGCGCCCTGGGATCCCTAACTGGGGTGGGGGGAGCTAAAAGCCTCAGCCACACCCCCTGATGTCCATATCCAGCCCAGTGATGACCACAGAGCCACCACCAGAAGCACCCTGAGCTCCCAAGCTGAGGTAGTGGGAGGCCCCTGAGCTCCCAAGCTGAGGTAGTGGGAGGCCAAGGGACTCAGCCACACACCCCTGATGTCTGCATCTAGCCCAGCAATGACCACCAGGCTGTCGCTGGATGTGCCCTGGGCTCCCAAGCCAGGGCAGTGGGGGTCCAAGGCCTTCAGCCATGCTCCCCTAACTCGGCATCCAGCCAAGCAATGACCACAGAGCCACTGCTGTAAGCACCCCCATGCTTCTGAGCTGGGGCCGTGGGGACTGAGGGACTCAGCCACACCCCCTGATGTCTGCACCCAGCCCAGTGAAAACACTGAGACACCACTAGAAGCACCCAAGGTTCCTGGGGTGGGGGGCTGAGGGCCTCAGCCATGTTCCCCTGAAGTCTGCATCCAGCCCAGCAATACTCACGAAGCCACTACTGAAAGCACCCTGGGCTCCCCTGCCAGAATGAGGGGGTTGCCATGGGCCTCAACCATTCTGCCCCTTCCTCCTTCTCCCACATTATTCCCCTCCCCTTACCCATCTCCCCCTCCCCCCAACCACTCCACAACATCTTAGAACGTAAAATAATAAATAAATAAAATGCTCAGGACTGTCAGGATAGATTAGAATCTGGGTGAGACCAAAGTGCAAAAGATTTAAGCAGTGCTATCAACTAACTTTACTTAATTAACGTTTATATAATGGTACTCTCAATAACCAGAGAATATACTCACTTTTCAATAATACATGAAACACCCACTAAGGTAGACCACATGTTGGGCCATAAAATAATATTCAATAATTTTCAAAGGGCTAACATCATACAGACTAAGTTCTTTGACACAGAACTAAATAGAGCTCAGTGATTTGACATGTATAGAAAATTCGGTTTTCTTCCAGATAATTGATAGTCTTAGCTTTTCCCTTTTCTATGTACATAAAGTATATGACTTGCCCAGAATTAAATTTTGTGTATGGTGTGAGGCACAGGTTGAGGTTCATTTTCCCTTCACATAGATATTCAATAGTTCCAGCACTATTTGTTAAAAACACTTTCATTTCTCCATTGAGTTGCTTTAGCACTTTTGTCAAAAATCAATTGGCCATAAATGCATACTATATATTAGCAATAGACCATTGGAAAATGAAACAAAAATAGTTTATAATAATATCAAAGATCAAAATATTTAAGAATAAGTTTAACAAAACATATGAAAGACCTTTATTATATGGAAAAACTACAAAACATTACTGAGAGAAGTTAAAGACTTACCCCAGAGGGGGACTCCAGCAGGTGTAGGGATGGAGAAGATGGGGCAAATAAAAGTAAATTTTAAAAAATTTAAAGAAATGGAGAGGTATACCAGGGCCATTAATTAGAAAACTCAATATCATTAATATGTAAATTCCCCCCATATTTATCTACATATTCAAAGCCATTCCAGTTAAAATGCCAGTATTTTTTTTAATTCATAAGAGTATTCTAAAATTCGTATAGAAATCCAAAGGACTTGAAGAGTCAAAATCAGTATTGAAAAAGAACAAATTTGGAGGGCTTATTGTAAGACATGCTGGAAAGCTATAATAAAGTAATAAAGACTATAGTGTTGGTCTAAGGATAGACAAATATGTCAGTGGAGTAGAACAGTGTAGAAATAACAAACCCCACAGTTCAACTTGTGTATTTCAGCATGTTGCAAAGTAATTTGACCATGAAACCCATTTTCCTAATTGTTATTAAAGTTTGTGAGAAATAAACACATCTGGGAAGTGTTTACTTGACTAGAATACATCAATAAAGAGATAAAGTTTAAAAGATTATTATAGGTAGTTAGCTAAGTATTTGCAAATAAGCGCTTTTTCATGTCGGTAATATTAGGTCCTTTAGAAAGTCTCTACTTTGGGGGCCGAGCCCGTGGCGCACTGGGGAGAGTGCGGCGCTGGGAGCGCAGCAGCGCTCCCGCCGGAGGTTCGGATCCTATATAGGGATGACTGGTACGCTCACAGCGCTCACTGGCTGTGCGTGGTGCGGCCGGTCTCAAAATAAGGACAAAAAAAAAACAATAATTTTGGGCCGGCCTGTGGCTCACTCGGAAGAGTGTGGTGCTGATAACACCAAGGCCACGGGTTCGGATCCTATATAGGGATGGCCGGTTCGCTCACTGGCTGAGTGTGGTGCTGACAACACCAAGCCAAGGGTTAAGATCCCCTTACCGGTCATCTTTTTTAAAAAAAAAAAAAAAAAAAAAGAAAGTCTCTACTTTGTCTATAGGAGACTGGTTCTGGTCTGTGGATGGAAGTGCCTCTCACCAGAGATCTCGTAAATCTTTCCTTTTCCTCCATAACATGGAGTCAGTCAGATCCTATGAGAGAGATTTTATTTTAACATTTAATTATGATAATTTTTACAGGAAAAAGTAAATACACTAAAT